TCCTGTGTGTGCTTCGAGGCCTCCCTACGGATTATGCCTCGCTCAAACAAAATATTCGTACCAATATTGCAACCGTCACTTTCAATCAAGTATCTGCGTGGTTGCTCTCGGAAGAATTAAATCTCACTTTTGAGAAGAAACTGCACCTTGGTGACTCTGGTTCTCCCTCGTCAACAGATCTTCACCATGCATTATTCACCAATTCAGGACGAGGTACTGGCCGGGGTCGTGGCCGTGGGCCATATCGTGGCCGAGGAGGGCCCTCCCGCGGAAGCAGCTACAGCGGCAGAGGAGGCCGGCTGCCTTCCTACCGCGAGGAACCGCGAGGTCGCGGTGGTGGACGTGGGGCCGACATCACATGTCAACTGTGTGGTAAGACCGGTCATGCGGTCTGGAATTGTTGGCACCGCTACGATGAATCTTACTCCGGTCCTCCACAGGCATACTACACCAATCAATCTGCTGAAACCAATCCGAACTGGCATCTGGATACTGGAGCGAACACCCATGTGACGTCTGATTTTTCTCGGCTGCATACTTCTTCACCTTATCATGGCACCAATTCTATCACAACTGCAGGAGGTAATACTTATCCTATTGACCATACAGGCTCAAGTATACTCACCACTCCAAACCATACCTTTACATTAACCAATCTCCTTCATTCCCCTCATATTAACTCTCACCTTTTATCTGTTCATCAATTTACCAAAGATAATAATTGTTCCCTACTTTTCACTTCCAAGGATTTTATGATTCGGGACAATACCACCAACCAAGTTCTTTTCAAGGGCCCTTGTGAGCGTGGATTATATTCTCTCCCTGCCTCCAGTTCGTCACCAGTGGTCAACTCCGTCAAAGTCACTCCCTATCAATGGCATTGCCGTCTTGGTCATCCCTCTGTTCAAGTCACCAAGTCTCTGTTATCTCAATTAGGTTTTAAATTTCAAGAACTTGATCATTGTAATTCTTGTTCTGTTGCTAAGTCTCATAAACTCCCCTTCCCTGTGTCACAAACTAAAGCATCTGCTCCTTTTGAACTTGTTCACTCTGATGTTTGGGGACCTACCTCTGTACCCTCTTTTGGAGGTTTTCACTTTTATATTAACTTCATTGATGATTTTACCAAGTTTTGTTGGTTGTACCCTCTTAAACACAAGTCTGATGCATATGATGCTTTTCTCAGTTTTCAAGCTATGGTTCAAAATCAGTTCAATACACAAATTAAAATTTTTAGAACTGATAATGGG